TCTTTCTTTATTTTTTTCTCTCTTTCTCGAGTTGTTAATCGCGTCCTTGCGCCTGCTACACACGATTTAGTGAAAGGCGGCTGATGCTGGGCGCACTCATGTGGAACGCCGATCCGATTGGCGGAGTGAAAAAGTTCATCGCTTTCGACTGCACGACGCCGTTGAGGCGGTTGAGGCGGTTGAGGAGGCAGGTCGAGTTGAGTCGAGCCGGTTTGGAGGGAATCTCTTCGACGATCTGTTTCACCGCTTGCCTCGGCCCGAGTCTGGCGACAGTGGCCCGCTGAAGTGGGTCTGGCTGAAGCGGTTAGGCCGGTGTGGTTCTGCCACTCTGATTGGGTGTGGCTCTGGGCAACAGGGTTGCCAACCGGAGGTCTGGCAAGGCAGCGAATCGGCGACACTTCGAGGCCAGCGGTGGGCATGGCTGTTCGGTAAAACGACGCAGCTCGCGACGTAGCAATGCTCCACACGGTCGAGCTCTTCTTGTCGCCGTTCGATTGGGCCTCGAAGGTGGGATTGCTCTGACCCGCTACTCTCTTTGGTCAAATCTGTCGCCCCGAAGGTGCCCCATCGGGTTGGTGTCACACACCGGCCTACTCTGTCGACCAATCAGAGACGACTCGACGTCTGGGACATCCCACGAGTCAGGCCAGTCCGTTCCACCAATCAGCGGCGCCCTCCGACCGACCAACCAGGCGAGCAATCGAGGCTGTTGGGCGCCTTTTCTTCCGGGCAAAACAGCTCCATTCTCTCTTTCGCCCATATCAGGTGCGCCCCATCTCACTTTCTCTCTTTCTTTCTGTACATCCTCTTTCTCTTTGTCGGTCTGTGGCCTCGAGCGGAGACATGCGCTCTTTCGGAGTGTCATAATTTTGGACGCTTTTCCGAACAGACAGTCTTGATAGACTTCCGCATGTTGGACGGTTGTTTCGTCGAGTGTGTAGTTGGTGTTGTCTCCTCCTAGACCCAATTGCCCCAACAGGGCGGCCAACCGGCCAGCTTTCTCGTCCAAAATGTTGCCTCCCATCTCGTCTGCCGGCGGCCGTTGACGCACGTTCCGCTTGGCTGGCTTCGACTCCACTCGTCCGCTTTGATGCTCTCTGGCCGAGCGTGCGTTGACGCAAGACAACATGGCCTCCACAAACGCCGCCTACGCACGTGACCCGAGCCGGTCGTCCAGCAACATCGGCCTCCTCGACGCTCTGGAGCCGGACGTGCCTGAAACCCCGATGCTGACACCGGCGCCGGCGCCGCCAACGCCAATGTCGACGCCAACGCCGACGCCGACGCCAACGCCGACGCCGACGCCGACGCCAACGCCGACACCGACGGGTGAGGTGGAGTTGGTGAAGACGACCGGTCGTGCCGTGTCGCCGGTCGGCCGCGGAGCCGCGTCGAAAGCGGCCAGTCTCAAGTTCATGCTCTCGTCGCCGTTCTCGAGCCAAATCATCGGCCTACAGACCGAAGAGGTGGGTCTCTCGCATCTGCTGCACAAGACGAAGAAGCCGACCATGGCCGGTACCAAACTGGCGTCAGAGACGGGTTTGGTGTTCAGCAACCAACTGAAGGACAAAGAGTACGTCTACC